GAGACTGGTCTGCTGAGCTTACGAAAGGGGATAGCATTTCTCTTTGTTCATCGTCTCATCTGTATAAACCGGATCTCTTCATTCCCCAAGCTTTGGCAAATCTACTGGTTACATATACACGGATCATTTCATCTACAAAAGATGATATTAAACTGATAAAGTCTATGGAAAGAGCCTCAAATTCCAAAAATATCTGTGCCATAACTTGATAAGAAGGATAGTAATAGCGATATTGACATTTTTTCTGCACTAATTATTTTGTTACTTACAAGATTCCATAAATACATGAAATTTTGATTTATAAGTTTTATTTTCAGAAAAAGACATTTTTCAGAACGAGATCCATAATTGTTCTGATTCATTTTATAATTTTAACATGTAGATGTTAATTCGAAATGTAAATGTATCTCTTTATTTTAATTGATTCATACAAAAATCAAGTATGTATTCACTTGTTATTTAAGATGAATATACAAAAACTTTTTCCTAGAAAAAGCACACCTTCATTTCTTCAATCAATTTTCTTTTCTTTTCATATAACTCTCTGGATAAAAAAATACAGTAATAAGTTATAAGTAAAATGAAAAAGTTAATTGAAATATACACAATGCAGTTATGCATTTATATCTGATCAGTACTTGATTATATACATGTTCAATAATAATTTACCTATGCAATATGAGCAAAACATTTATCAAGGTTATGGTGCATAAGCAACATTTATCACCTCTGTTTGTTGCTATAGAAACTAATTTTAGTGGCCATTATTTACCTCAAGAGTTTGATGAAGAGAATTGTCTTCTTATTTATTTACATTTGGTTTATAATGTCATATACTAATACTTTACAAATAAAATTGACTGTACATGAAAACTTAAATTTTGAAATCTGTAGATATTTTTTCTTAAAACCATTTCTCTCCATTGAGAAGGCTAACAAATGTTATCACAGTCATTGGAAACAATATACAACCTCTCATTCTATTGTTATGGCTTTCATATATATTTCTTTAGTTTTCATCTGTCTCTCCTGGGACTTAATCATAGTGTTCAATTGAAATGTTCATTTTTTGTTGTTCACATTTTTAATGATTTCTTTCCAATTCTTTCTGCTTGGCAACACATTCCTCAAAAACCATCTCTCCATTACTATACTGTATATGTTGTAATCTCTGTTTTTATAGATGTCGAATATAGTTATCAAATGAAATGAGCAGTTTATTTATAAAAGAGACATACACTTCACAATGACAAAATATCCTAATGCAATTCATAGCAATGATAATTTATAACATAAAATGTAAAACTAATATCAATAATATTATATAACATCATAAAGAAGAAATAATTATGTGTTACACCAGAAGGTGAATACTTCATGCTCAAAATAAATGTAGTGATTATCATTATAATCTAAAACACTTCATTTCAAATCCATTGATATAATAGATATATGCCAACAAATCAATGTGCTATGATATCACATAGGTATGGTATCATAATATCACATGACCAGATTTTATCTGTAAAAGATTACTGCCTATTAACATACAAAATCATAGTATGGTACACTGCATTTAAACAGTGATAACTCCCAGAGGCTTATGGCGAAAATTAAGATGTCAAAAATGAGGGTAATAACATCAGTTTATCCACTATGCAATCATAATTATAATACTATGACATCGTGAATTCATACATAATGACATAATAATAGATTGATATAATATTTAATTAATGCTATCATAACAATGTTGACATCAGCAAAATAGTTATTACTCATTTTATTTAAGTGTTCACAATAGAAGAAGCTTATAATTAAATGACAATTCACAATTGACTATAACAACTTAAGAATAGCAAAAATGCATCAAACATCCCAGTATCTCGAATGACAGGCAAAGCAAGAGTGTAACCTAATATTGTCATCTTGCATCATACGTACCTAGTTTTTGATGGCTGCTTGCCATCTGAAGATCTGAACTTCTCTCTATCTGCCGCTTTCTGTGTACTCCTGACATCAAGTTTCACACACTTGTTATGCCTCATCCTTTATACATCTTTATAACATCATTACACTTGGCAAAATCTGCAATTTTAAGTCACCCATTTAAAATACCTTTTCTGTAATTTTACAGATTACAAATCTAAGTTTTATTAATTAAGAATTTTTATGGCACACGAATTGCTAAAAATTTATGCTTAAATGACTTGGAAAATAACTAAATAGAAACACTTTGACTTCATCCAATTCTTTCTATCAAAAAAATGAATAAATAAATCATCTAACATGCTTCACACTATTTCCCTATCAGGGACAGATAAGGCAATCAAGTGCAGTCTTTACGCATAAATCAAATCTACATGATATGACATCAATATGAAGTATAAGCATGACGTCAGAAAAAATTAATCACACTCAATGTAGTTATCAATTTCTTTTTAAATTGATGTTAGAAAGAATAAATCCTTAATTTTTCTTACAAATGAAAAATAAGAAGTTTATTATTACAATGCTTGATAATTAATACTCAGGCACATTGTGATAAATTCCTGCAAATTTGAAGTCAGTGCATTATATATAACAATGCCAATCAAATGATACCTGTTCCTTAAATAGCACCCTTGATCAAAGTGAAAGTAGATTATAAGTATGTATAGTTATCTAATCAATAAATCTATAAGATCTATATCACATTTTCAAGAAAACGACAACTTATGTTTCTCATATCTTGTATGTATTTTAAAGATCCTCAACAGCTTGAGAAATCTCATTCAGCACGCATGAAATCTCGCCATGAAATCTTTCGAAAGGCCTTCTTTCCTTTCATCGGCCTAATAAATCATTGTAAGCAAACTTTAATATCTACACTTTATATTCAAATACCATGTGCTTACATGTTTATATAAACAAAGTTGTCACCTTATTGCAGTAATGATTAAGTCCATTCTAAAATTTAATAGAGTTAACAAGTAATTGCCACTAAGGGAACAAAGTATGTGAAAGAATGAAACAAAGAATAAAACAAGTATTTCAAAACAATAATGTCAAGTGTATAAGTGGATGACGCTAAAAGTGGAATATATCTGTGTCTTGAAAAGTAGAGATCTGAAACCTCAAAGCATGAGGCAATATTTAGCAAATCTGCATTCAACGGCTGGGTACTATTTATTCTGAAAGGAAATTTCGTAGGTTTGTCAATTTTCAAAACTTGGCCCAATTATCCCGTCAATCCTTAACACACTTATATTATAAGCATAAACATTGCTTTTGAAAAGTACATGTGTACCAGCAACATCCCAAAAACTCCAAAATAGAGAATTAATACTAACATCATCCAAACAATTTTTTTATGAAAAGAAATTTCTATACAATTAATAGTTAGAACAGGATAAAAATACAATAGCATTGCAGTCTCCGCGAAGTTCAACCACTTCAATTCTAAAGATCACTTGTTCACAATAAATTCCATGCGCTCCTCTGCCTGCTCACTATGTCCTCCTAGTTTTATTATACCATGCTCAACAAGCTGTTATTAGGAGAATCTGATATTAAGAATGTACTATAGAATGAATTAATAATTATATATTAGATAGGTAAACTCATCTGGTTGGGTTATCCTGCTATAATTTCTGTTTTTCATTTCTTTTTTTTTTTTACATAAAAAAAATTTGTTGATGATGTTAGTTTAATTCTCTATTTTTGTTTTGCTGTTGCTGTACACATGTACTTTTCAAAAAGCAATGTTTATGACATTACTATATAAGTGGTTAAGTTAGCAAAGCGGAAATATTGGCAAGTTTTGAAAATTGACAAAAACCACGAAAATTTCCTTTCAGAATAAGTATCACCCAGCCAGTTGATGCATGATTTGCTAATATTGCCTCATGCAAAATATCTGGAGTTTCAGAATCTCTAACTTTTCAAGACACAGATAAATCCACTTTCATTCACTATATACATCCTTGATCATTATTGTTTTGAATACTCTGTTTTATTCTTTGTTTCATTCTTTCACATACTTTGTCACCTTAGTGCAATAACTGGTTAACTCCTATTAAATTTAGATGGACTTAACTCATTACTGCAATAAGGTGACAACTTGTTTATATAAACATGTCAAGCACATGTATTTGAATATAAAATGTAGATATTTAAAGTTGCTTACAAAATGATTTATTAGGCTGATGAAAGGGAACAGAAGGCTCGAGATTTCATGCGAGATTTCATGCGTGCTGATATGAGATTTCTCAAAGCTGTTGAGGATCTTAAAACTAAACAATTACAAATACAAGATCATGAGAAAAAACATAAGTAGATGCAAGTCAAGTAAGTTTCTATGAAATGTTGATATTGTTACTATAGATTTATATGTTAGACATAACTATACATACTTATAATCTACTTCACTTTGATCAAAGGGTCTATTTAGGAAACAGGTATCAATTTTGATGGCATTGTTATATAATAATGCACTGACTTCAAATTTGCAGGAATATTATCACAATGTGCCTGAGTAATTAATTATCAAGCATTGTAATAATAAACTGTTCATTATTTTACTATTTTGTAAGAAAAATTAAGATTTATTTCCTTTCTAACATCAGTTTAAAAAAGAAAATTGATAAAAATATGTTGAACTACATTGAGTGTAGAATTAATTTTTCTGACGTCATTTGGCTTATAAACTTCATATCTGATGTCGTATGACATGTAAGCATTTGAATTTGATGCGTAAAACTGCACTTGATTGCCTTATCTGTCTGATAGGGGAATAGTGTGAAGCATGTTAGAATGATATTTATTTATTACATTTTTTGATAGAAAGAATTGGATTGAAGTCAAAGTGTTTTCTATTTAGTTATTTTCCAAGTCATAATTAAGCATAAATTTTTAGCAATTCGTGTGCCATAAAAATTCTTAATTAATAAAACTTAGATATGTAATCTGTACAAATTACAGAAAAGGTATTTTAATGGGTGACTTAAAATTGCAGATTTTGCCAAGTGGTATGATGTTATAAAGAATGAGCATAACAAGTGTGTGAACTTGATTCAGACGAGTACACAGAAAGCGGCAGAAATGAGAGAGAAGATCAAGATCTTACAGAATGACACAGCAGCCACTCAAAAAGACAGGTACGTATGATGCAAGAATGAACAATTATTAGGTTACACCTCTTGCTTTGCTGTCATTCAGAGATACTGGGATGTTGATGCATTTTTGCTATATCTTAAGTTGTTATATCAATTGTGATATTGTCATTTTAATTATAATGCTTCTTTCTATTGTGAACACTTAAATAATGATGTAATAACATATTTTGTGATGTCAAATCATTGTTATGATAGCATTTAAATTATAATATTATATCATCTATTATTATGTCATTATGTATGAATTACGATGTCATAGTATATAAATTATGATGTCATAGTGGATAAATGATGTTATTACCCCTCACTTTTTTGAAATCTTAATTTCCCATAAGCCTCTGGGAGTTATTCTAACTGTTAATGCAAGTGTACCATGTAACTATGAATTTTGTATTGTTACATAGGTAACAGTACTTTTTAACAGTATAAAATCTGGTCATGTGATCATTATGATACCATACCTATTGTGATATCATAGCACATTGATTTTGTTGGCATATTATCTATTTTGATATCAATGGATTTGAATGAAGATGTTATTAGTTATAATGATATCACTACATTTATTTTGAGCATGAAGTATTCACCTTCTGGTGTCATAATTATTTTCTTTTATGATGTTAGTATAATATTATTGATTTTAGTATTTACATTTTAATGTTATTACAAATTTCATCTGCTATGATTGCATTAGTATTTTGTCATTTGAATGTATGTCTCTTTTTATAACATAAACTGCTCATTTCATTTTGATAACTATATTTCAGACATCTATAAAAACAGAGATTACAACATATAAACAGTATAGTAATGAGAGATGGTTTGAGGAATGAGGTTGCCAAGCAGCAAAGAATTGAGAAAGAAATGCATTAAAAATGTGAACAACAAAAAATGAACATTTCAAAATTGAACACTATGATTAATCAGGCAGAGGAACAGATGACAAAATTAAGAAATATATATGAAAAAGCCATAACACATAGGAATGAGAGGTTTGTATGATTGTTTCCGAATGACTGTGATAACATTTGTAGCCTATCTCAATGGAGAGAACATGTTTAAGAAAAAAGTATCTACAGATTCAAATTTAGTTGTTCATGTACAGTCAATTTTATTTGTAAAGTATTATGTATATGAACATTTATAAACAAAATGTTTAAATAAATAAGAAGCACATAATTCTCTTCATCAAACTTCTTGAGGTAAATAATGGCCACTAAAATTAAGTTTCTATAGCAACCAAACAGAGGTGATAAATGTTGCTTATTGCACAAATAACCCTTGATAAATGTGTTGCTCATATTGCAATAGGTAAATTTATTATTGAACATGTGATATAATCAAGTACTGATACAGATAATAAAATGCATAACTGCATAGTGTATATTTCATAACTTTTTCATTTCTTTAATTAACTATTACTGTATTTATTTTATCACAGAGGTATTGAAAGAAAGAAAATTGATTGAAAGAAATGAGGTGTGCATTTTCTAGGAAAAAGTTTTTGTATATTCATCTTAAAATACAAGTGTACATACTTTGATTTTTGTATAATCATTAAATGAAGAGATCAATTTACATTTCGAATTACATACTACATGTTAAAATTATAAAATGACATCAGACAATTATGGATCTCGTTCTGAAATGTCTTTTTCTGAAATAAAACTTATAAAATCAAATTCTGTATTTTGAATACTTGGTAAAGTAACAAATAATTAGTGCAGAAAAATGTCAAAATGCTGCTATTAACTTTCCTTCTCTTATCAAGTTATGGCACAGATATTTTTGGAATTGAGGCTCTTTCTCATAGATTTATCAGTTTAATATCATCTTTTGTAGATGAAATGATCCGGAATGGTAACGTAGATTTGCAAGCTGGGGAAGAAGAGATCCGGTTTATACAGATGCAGATGAACAAAGAGAAATGCTCTCCGTGCTCAAACACATAACAGAGTTAATCTTGAAGGAGGACTAGTCACTTTACAAATACAGGTAACTTATTTATTACATTTACAATGTATCTATGTCTGTTTCTGTTTCATGTGTTAATTTTGTACACTAGTTAGCAACATGAAGTTTTAACGATGAACAATGGTGGCCTAGTTAATTTCACCAAAAGTCAATATAAAAATCATTAGACAATAGTTTCACATGTTCATCAAATCCAATGATTTTTTTAGGAAAAGGGGGAGATGCTGGGCGCTGGTAGGGAGGGGAAAAATATATATGAAAGTCAATTTGGGGAAAAATATGACGTTATTTATACTATATACTAAACTCCATTGTAGAGAGTCACAACTATATCTTTTTCCCCATAAAAACTTTATCATCATGCAAAATATTCTTTGCAGTATAACATCTTAATATGTATGGTAGTGAATGATTTTTTAGCTCATCTGTCACAAAGTGACACAGTGAGCTTTTGTGATGGCTTTTCGTCCGGCGTCCGGCCGTAAACTTTTACTTTAAACGACATCTCCTCATAAACAGCTTAGCCAATTTCATCTAAACTTCACAGGAATATTCCTTTGGTAGTCAACTTTAAATTGTTCAAAGAATTTAATTCCAAGCAGAACTCTGGTTGCCATGGCAACCTTAAGAAAAAACTTAAAACATCTTCTTTTAGAAAACCGCAAGAGCTAGAGCTAAAATATTTGGCATGAAACATCAACTAGGCAGTGTCTATCAAGTTTGTTCAAATATAAGCCCTGGGGTCAAAATTGGCCCCGCCCCGGGGGTCATTGATTTTCCTTATTTGTATATAGTAAAAACTTAAAAATCTTTTTTTAAAAACCCAAAATAGCTAGAGCTTAAATATTAAGCATGAAACATCTTCTAGTGGGTGTCTACCAAGTTTGTTCAAATAAAAGCCCTGGGGTCAAAATTGACCCGACCCCGAGGGTCATTGATTTTCCTTATTTGCACATAGTAAAAACTTAAAACAATTTTCTTTTAGAAAACCGCAAGAGCTAGAGCTTAAATATTTGGCATGAAACATCAACTAGGCAGTGTCTACCAAGTTTGTTCAAATAAAAGCATTTGGGTTAAAATTGGCCAGGCCCTGGGGGGGTCATTGATTTTCCTTATTTGTATATAGTAAAACTTAAAAAATCTTGTTTTAAAAACCCAAAATAGCTTGAGCTTAGATATTAAGCATGAAACATCTTCTAGTGAATGTCTACCAAGTTTGTTCAAATAAAAGCTCTTGGGTCAAATTGGCCCCGCCCCAGGTGGTCATTGATTTTCATTAATTTGTATAGAGTATAATTTTAAAAAATCTTCTTTTAAAAAACCAAAAGAGCTAGAGTTTAGATACTAAGCATGAAATATGTTCTAGTTAGTGTCTACCAAGTTTGTTTAAATAAAAGCCCTGGGGTCAAAATTGGCCCCTCAGGGGGGGGGGTCATTGTCTTTTCCTATATGTACAGTAGAACTTCGGTAAGTCGAAGTCGAAGGGACTTGCGTAAAAACTTCGACACATCGGGACTTCGACTCATGAATCGCTCTCAATTTCATAGCAAAATTTCGACCCGTGACTTGTCCTTATAATTAGGTATATAACGAAACCTATTTCACGTTTTTCCATCATTAATCTGATATTCACATTTTACAATGATAAATATTACAATGATAAATATAGCATGTTAAATAACGTTTTTTTTTTGGACTTCCCGTTGACGTATACAATAGAGTTACAAAATGCGTAACAATACAAACGGCGATAACTAAACCAGCTTATACTATATATTTCGCGTGTTATTCTCACGCGACACCGGGTCAAGGATGTTTTCAAATGAAAGTAGTTCTTATTGTTTACTTTCAAATACCATCACGGCAATTAAAATAGTAACGATTATATAATCACACATTTTATCGCAAACAAAGGCTGTTTGAACACAAGGCTGTGTAATTACACCTGTCAAACAAGTTAATTGGAAATCGCCTTCGCAGCCAGATAAGGTGTGAAAAATGTCTCGAGATCGAAAGTGTCAAAATAATCGAACGACTTCGACTTATTTGTGGTAAATTGCACTAGATTTACTTAACACGGACCACAAAAAACTTCGACACATCGAAAAAATCGACACATAAAATCTCGACTCATCAATAGTTTTTTATATGGAATATATAGAGGGAAAAGTCGGGACTTTCATTTTTCTTCGACACATCGAGAAAATCGACTTATCGAAGTTCGACTCATAGAAGTTCTACTGTATATAGTAAAAACTTAAAACAATCTTCTTTTAAAACTCCAAAGAGTTAGAGCTTAGATATTTATCATGAAACATCTTCTTATGGCTGTCTACCAAAATTTGTTCAAATAAAAGTCCCTGGTTTAAAATTGGCATTAGCCCAGGGGCCTATATACAGGTGAGCGATTTCAGGGCCATCATGGCGCTCTTGTATACTTCTATTGTTGTATGAAATTTAATACAGTATACTATACAGGTATAATAGTGTGACACACTTTAGCTCCATACGCGACATTTTCATAATAAGAAATACAAAATATATTACTTTACTAAAAATAACCAAGAAAATGACAATATTTTGATAGCAACTGATTTCAAGAAATATTACCATTCAGTACGGGATATAGCCAAGAAAAAAAGATAGCAGCATCCATGTTGAGACAGTACTTGCAGTTTCCTGCAATGTTTCTGGTTATTGTGCCCCCATTTTAGGGGGAGGGGCATTTAGATTTACCCTTGTCTGTCCATCCGTCCGTTCTCTTTTTGTGTCGCAGGTAGCTTAAAAAGTAATTAACTGACCTACAGTCAGGAAACCTTACAGGAATGTTGATCAGCATGTGTAGAGAAAAGGTTTATATTTGTTCCATTTCAGCAACAAGATGTACACATCTGTACAAACGTGAGTCCAGCATGTGGCTGGTGTCATGATGCCAGCAACACAGGTTTAGACAATTGTGTTTGTGGGACGGCATATATAGCATTGTATTTAAGGACAATAGCACATTGAAATATCGAACAGATAGATGGTGATTTTATGAAATGTCCATGTAAGTGTTTAGAAAAGTTTATGTGACATTTACTTTTGTTTATTTTCGGGCATTTTGATAAGCAATACACTTTTCTCATTACATAAAAGTATATAACTGGTCAAGTTCAATTATGTGGATTAGCCTGTCCATGAAATCCACAAAATGATTGCCTCATTGATAATGACTTTGCAATACTTGAGTTTACAATTATGGTCTACAACTGTGAGCTATTGTACACACCCAGGCATTGGTGTCACACTTTGGTAAGTTTTTGCATGCAAGTTGGTATCTCCAAAACTACTGAAGGGAATAATTGAAACTTCATACAGTAACTTAAGAGCATAATTATCCAAGGCCCATAACTCTAACTTAGATATTTTGCCAGAATTATGGCCATTTTTTGGCCCATAACTCTAACTTAGATATTTTGCCAGAATTATGGCCATTTTTTTAACCAATACTCTCAGAATTACTCTTAATTGTTTATTTCTTGAAGGAAGTTTTTGTAACATCAAAGATATAATGTTTGTCAGCAACACCTCTCGGCTGACAGCACTTGTTAAAGTTAAAATTAATTAGGCTGTGATATGATTTCAACATATTATGTACTTAATTGCAAAAGAATGTGGCAAAGATATATAAGTTTCTATAATTATAAGTTAGTGAGGGAAACCTGTAATAGCAGGTCTAAAGAAAAGGTTTGTGTTTTTGGTTTACCAGAGCACAAAGTATTGAAGGTACTGCAAAATCATTTAAATTTCAGGGCATAAATTTGGTGGTTTGTGAACGGTAAGATTGTTAATTCGTGGAATTCAGTTGCCAGGTAAAATAAAAAAAAAATGAGTCCTTAAATTCCACTTTCAGTAAATTATACCCGTCATTTGTGCCACTTAAATGATAACAAGTGCAAGAAAACATGATCTTGACCTATTCAACAGAAGCTCTGTCTTCTAAATAAGCATGTGTCGTGTATCAATTATATTTTATAATTTGTTGTTTCATTATTTAAAAAAGGTGTGTAAATTCTCTCATCATTAATTTACCGATGTAAACATGTTTGTTTTCTTGTGATCATGTGACCTTGAATTATTTTAGCTACAAGAAATTTGAACGATGGAATGATCTGCGTGCACATTTTTATATGCCCGAAAGAATTTCGGGCATATTATGTTATACCCCCTGGCGTCCGTCCGTCCGTCCGTCCGTCCGTCTGTTAGCAATTTGGTTTCCGGAGCATAACTTAAGTTCCATTTGGCCCACAGTATTCAAACTTCATAGGATGATTGCCCATATTGGGTAGAAGACCCCTATTGATTTTGGGGTCACAAGGTCAAAGGTCAAGGTCACTATTAGCTAAATACTGAAAATGGTTTCCGGAGCATAACTTAAGTTCAATTTGACCCACAGTATTCAAACTTCATAGGATGATTGTCCATATTGGGTAGAAGACCCCTATTGATTTTGGGGTCACAAGGTCAAAGGTCAAGGTCATTATTAGC